ATTGCAGAACTTCATAGGCATACTAAGGCTGCATATCATCACAAAGCAAAAGAAAGAAGTTCACAAAATTCATGAACAAAATCTCACTCAAGAAGCAGAGTTTTTTTACCTTGGTGAAAAAAACCCCTCCTTCGATCACAGCTATAACTTATTCTGTACAAAGGAGGTATTGGCTATGACCCGGCTTGATGAATTTGCTTATTGTCAGGGATCACCACAGTTGTAGTTACCAAATGTTCTGATTCACTGTCCTAAGAGGACCTGTTGCAACGGCAGAAGCGGCTGCTGCTTCTTCACCTGCTCAGTGAAGACAACCATCCCGATATTATAAAGAACAGCCAGCTGAGTCCATTCCTCAGTTAACAGATGCCTATCCCAGTGTATTAACATAAATCACCCCTCAGTTTATGTTAATGCGCCGTGGTTGACACTACGGCAGCTGGTCACCTACACCTCAGTCGCACGCACCCTGCAGGTCATGCCACAACCAGCAGAGAAGTTGTGTCAACTGCTGTGGGCAGCAAGTGTGCCACCTGCTAGAGACAGTTTCCACCTGAGAGCATAAGTCAGCCCGAATGCCGCAGATTATTTAGTACAATTCTGAATTTCTTCTCATTCCATAAAAGTGATTGAGCATCTTCTATAACATGTAATCCTTCTTAAAGCTAAAAGATGCTTCAAAAGTGTACCTCGGGGAATGAATTTACCTGTTTCACCAACTTTAAGAACTTGCCTGTAATGTCTATTTAATATACTAGCAAGTTCAAACAACATTAAAACATTCAGAAGCTGTTCAGTCTACAATGGTTGGAGAAGCACATGAAAGAGATCTGTTTTTCCTGTATCACAGACAGCTTTGTCAAATACCCATACAGGAGCATACAGCAGTGATTGTAATAAGTCATCTAAAGTTTGTCATTAAAAGTACTTAAGTCTTCTGGTGGAGAACAAAAATTGCCACAAAGTCAGATCAAAGGCATGCTGACGCGCCAGAACAATATGACTAATTGTTCTTTTTTGTCTCACTACATAAAAAGAAGCTAGATCTTGTACTCAGTGATATTTATTAAGACCATGTGACTAGAGGACATTCCAGTTTGCTGACCCCTTTTTTGGCTTTCCATACAGAGAAGTATACTGAATGTGTCTTCAGGCACCTGCCATCCGATAGGAAGAAACGTAAGGATAAAAAAGCAGTAGGTTCACTACACACTACAGTGTTTTGATCCGGTTTACAGATTAGTTTTACTTGTACTAATCAACTAGCTGCATAAATATTTGATGTAATAGATATTAATGCCAACGTACACTGCTTTGGTAGATGAATCATAAACAGCAGTATCTTAATACTATATTCGTATTCTCACGTCTGCAGACAATGAGTACAATTGACTGTCAGTAATTACAAAATTTCAGACTACTAAGTAAGTGCTTCAGCTGTACTAAGAAACAATATTTCAATAATTAACTGTTCTCAAAATCAGGTTAAACAAACAAGACATGATGACAAATAATTTTAGTTTAAGACTGCATCAGATGAAATTATTCTGATGGGAAGGAAGAATCCAGCTGTAAAGCTTTTGACATTTTTCCACGCAAGCTTTGCATAAGTAAACTAAAGAACCCTGATATAAAGTGGGTAATACAGTTTGTTGGAATATTATATGAAGTGAAGATAGAGAAGATACTCTTTAAGCTTGAAGTCTGAGAAAACACTGCTAAATACCATGAAGACAAGCCTGGAATTGATAGCAACTTTAACAGATTAGAGGAGAGGTCTGAAAAGGGAAATACAGCATTATTTAGTGTCCCAAGATGTACAAAATATGGCACACACTGGAATGAGTGATGGGGTGTCAGTGCTCTGGAAATAACTCTGGCTCTTATTCTGAGTCACAACCCAACCGACCACAAGTCAAACGTGGCAGCTCTTGAGAAGCAAGGAGGCATCATGGTTAGGTACCTAAGTGGAAGGAGAGACTTCAAGATATAAGAATTAGCCCTAACACTGGCTCAGCAGAAGTAATGATTCATCTGGACAAACACATCCTAGTTTTGGGTCCTCAATTTTAAGAAAGATGTGGACTAGTTGAAAAGAATCTCAAAGAGAATAACGAAGTGATCAAAGGCCTAGGAAACACAACTTACCAGGAAAGTTTAAATGAATTAGACACGTTCTAGCCTCAAAGAGAATAGAACTGAGAGTGGACATAACAACAGTCTCAAAGTATCTAATAAATTCCTTCAAAAAAAAGAGGAATAATTTACTTTCTACGGCCATGTGAGCAGGAAAAATAGTTAAAGTACTTTAATTGCAACAAGAAATATCTGTTTTAGCTATGACCAAAAATACTGCCTCGGACTTCCTAAGTTTCTTATAGTAAGGAAACTGAAGCAATATATTTCCTAACAAGGCTGTTAAGCACTCATTTTTGCATGTTTTTAGAAACAAGTTAGACAAGCATATATTAACAGTGACTTAGGTATAGCTGTTTCTCTCTTAAGAATACATTAGACATCTTTCTGAGACCCCTTGCAGTCCTATAGGTCTACGATAATCAAAACTTATCTCTCGTTCATTGTTGACATATAAACTCTCAACTTTAGGAAGGTCATGTATCTCTGATAACCAGCTGCTATATTTCAAATATGCTTTTTTCATCACTGCCCTTCTGGGAGGAGCTTCCCATGAACTGCTGCAAGAAGTAATGCATTATGCTCCTTCAAAATATCCTTAATGTTTACAAAGGCTCAATAACACTTCACTTGCTAGTGTGCTAATGCTGTCATCTGAGACGTTTGTAGATATTGCCACTTGAATTTCCACACGTATGACCATATCCACTTTCCGTTTCATTAAATGTGTTATGTTTTGACTGTGTGCTCTTTGGCGCAGGGTTTATCATTTAGTTTTTAATTTGAACAGTGCTAAGTACAATAAAGTCTCTCTCATCTGTGAACGTTAGCTGCCATGGTACTGCAAACAATAATGACACAATGTGCTAACAAACCAAACACAGCAGGGTGCTGTGGGAAAGAACTGAGATTAATTTCAACGCGACTGGCCGTGTAGCAGAAAGTGTCTGCAGATGATTTGGTGTCACTTTTGTCTGGGGTCTTTCCACGGAAAATCCTGCATCAGCACTATATGCTGTTGGTTAGTGCACAATGGCTCCTATTCACTCAGAGAAGACAAGTTCTTATTTATCTGGCTCTTCCGGAAATGGCTTATGGATTCGGGACCCCAAAAAAGTTATTCAACTGCCCCTTCTGTTTAGCTGGTTTTGTTCATCACTGGTGGATTGTTCATAGCCTTTCGCTTTTCCTTGTTTTTATTTTAAGCTTGTTACAGCCTTTGTAAATTATTTGTAAAGTACCCACCAATAAAACATTAACTGTAAAGGATAATGGTGACTTTGAAGGTAGATATTGAGTATATTCCAGTCTTCGGGTTTCGTAATCTTATAATCCAACCTTCACCCTAAAGTGACTTGATCTCATGAAGCATCAATCAGTCTAAAGAACAGTGCTTTGGCTGGAGAGGTTTTCTGTCCTTTGGCTTTGGGCACTTTGAAGTTGTAGAATTAATTTTTCATGAAACCAAGATCTCTGTAGATACCACCACACTTCTCTTTCTAAAGTGCCTGAGACCACTTATACCTTTCAGTCTCCTGTTTAATTTCACGTTGCTTTCTACCTCCGTGAGTGCAGGACACCATCACGATTATTCTCTGCTTCCAGCTGTCAGTATCCTCGAATCCTACCTCACGGCTTGCATCGTTAACTAAAATAATAGACACGCTGGGCCAGAACAAAAGTGCATTTCACTTGGCACTGCTTCTAATAGGGGTCTACAGAAGACCCACGGGAGCACAAGAATGTGACAGGCAAGTTCACAGGCGCTCCCACAGAACAAGCTCACCGACTGCAAGGATCTGTGGCTCAGAGACTTTCCAAGGCAAAGGCAGTGCCTTTCTTAATATGGCCTAGGAGTGGGGTTTAATTACATTGTCCTATGCCTTAGAAGAACATCAGGGGTAATATAAACAGGTAAGTCTACATGTAATTTTATGGGCTATAATTAAGTGCATTCAGGATCATTCCTAAAACACAAGGAAGCCCCAAAACTTCTTTTCACAACCTTATCCCAAAAAAATTCAAAAGTAGGCATGCAAAGTGTTCATCGATCAGAAAGTCAGCAAGGCAGACAGCTGTTCAGTGGGGGGCTTACAACCCAAACCGAAGGTGATAATGAGAAGTACAGTACTTCCATAGGGAGTGAGCACTCTTTTTGGAAAGTGAACATGGTGCACTCGGGAAGCTTACTGACCACTATATAAAATCAAGAATTCTGAGTGGAATAAATAACACAGCTGACTGAGTCATTTGTGAGCAGAAATATCTGAAGATGGAACATGCTGATTAATGGAAAGCTGCACTAATGAGTAATAAAACTGGTTTTGTTCGCTTTTACACATCAGTGACCTGGAAGAAGGAGTTTCCAAAACGGTCATGAATTTGGGGGTTAAACACATCTGGGCAAGGACAGTCTAAGAATAGGAGAGTTAAAATTACAATTAACAACAATTAATCTGGAAAAGGAATATGGGATAGACTTCCATACATAATTCGGCAGTAAACATGTGACATGGAGAAGGCTAAGAATAAACAAACAACAAGCCTGAAATATCTTTAGAAAAATATATATAAATATTAAAAGCATGACAGAAAGCCAAACATAAAAGCTTCATGTCTACGTATATATAGCAAGATCATTTTATCTAGAAATAAACCAAGAGGCATAGCTTCCAAAAGTTACTACACTTACTGGTTTCAACGAACCTAAAGCCAAGCAGATCACACGTATCATTTAAATGCTGTAACTACTTCATTTTCTATCCATTTTCCTGCGAAGCGTATGTTCACTTATAGCTGCAAAGCTGACAAATGTGGCCAAACATTGAAAGCACAAGTATCTGTTACCGTACATACACACTTACCCACACGGTCTGTATGTAAATACAATATAACTTTCTTCATCGCTCCGTTCAATAAACGTAACACACGTGTACTTTTCCCAGTGCCGCATAGCCTGTTTGAACATGGCGCGCTGGGTGCCTGGAAGAATAAGTGTATGAGATGAAGTAAGAGACTTTTCTAACTGTGTCTTGTTCCTTAATATCAGATTTCCATACTACGAATATAGGCCTGGAAGGAGTCACTGGACCATGAAGTCCACCAAAGCCCCATGTACTGCCAGACTCCAATTAAAGGAGACCATCAGCTCATCATAACATATCTGCCTGCAGCGGGACCACTACTGCCTGATGCACTCTAGCAAACATAAAGCCTGCAATAAAAAGCACAGCTATGTTACACCAGAGGAATACAGCAGAAGAAACATAGTGTTGCTTATGTGCCTGCATTAGCATAACACTTGCAAAGCAATTTCCCAGAAATTATCAAGTAGACCACATCGGAGAAAAAAAAAGGAAAGGGAGGAGAAAAAAAAAAAAAGAAAATTGAGGAACTCTGGATCCTAGCTATCTAGCCAGAAGGGAGGGGGGGGAAAAAAAAAAAATCCTACACTCTTCAAATCTGGAGACCAGTTTAAGCTAAGCCATGTAAACAGGCATACCAGTCAAAGCACTTGATTTTAATAATGCTCTCCTGAACAGGGACCAGTTTCCACTTCTTTCCACTAAAATCTTTCAGCAATCTAATGATCTACCAAATAGGGGGAAAACCTTAATTTAGTACAATACTAAGCATACCTAGATATTTGTTTTAAAAATGAGCAACACATTCAGAAATAATCAAAACTACACTCTAGAAGCAGAAAGGCCAGCTCTCGCCACAGAACACAAAGCCAGCTAGCGTACAGTACTTCAGATAGTATAGCAATGTAATTTTATTGCCTGACAAGGCTTATTAATCTTGCTTATTAGAGGCACTGTCTGAAAATATAGCTGTATTGCTTCTGAGCTAGAAATCCACAAAGAATGGTACTATTTGGCATTAATTTGCTAGCAGAAATGCATCAAGATGCATGTTACAGCATAGGACAACTTAAAAAAAACCCAAACCACATACAACTTTAAAGACGACAAAACCTCAAAGTTCATGCAAATAGCAAGGTCAAATCATGTCAGGATCCTAAAAATAAAGGTTATTTCATCCCATCTTGCCCTTTTCTTTTATCTTTAAGCAATGTTTGCTAAGCCTTAGAATTTGTCTTTCATTATGAAAAAGGTAAAATGTTGAACATGATATGCTTTCATTTAGTTTACTACCATTATTCCAGAAGATGGTAATCCTAAAGCAAAGGTCACATTTGGTATAGCACTATGTAAATACCCAAACTAAAAGTTTGACTGTAGCTGTCAGTTTGAAAGGAATGACACTGTTTTTTCCATATACATACACATACACTGTATGAGCATTTGCATGTTTCTTCTGGTTCCCAATATTATTGTGCAAAATAAATAAGATGTTACTACATATCTTTTCCCATCCATTTTTGCTTTTCTCTCTCCCTTTTTCTTTTAATTTACCTCTCATATACACATTGATTTACATTTACATATCCATTTACATTTTTCAAGGATAACAAACGTTTTAAACTTTTTCTACAGTTTTCTGCTAAGAATTCTATATATTTTGAAGCCAGAATTTCCTCTTGTCATATATAACATCTGTGTGTATCCATCTGAAAACCAAACTGAGGAATTACAAAACACATTTGAGTCAGTTTGTTGAATGAAATCAGTTTAGCAGAACACGTTGCACCAGTTAAATTAATTATATTCTTGTTCTAAATATCCTGCATTTTTTCAAAAACAGATTTCATGATATTCTGCTACTTAGGGTCTTGAAAACAAACATGCAACAAGAAATATTAAGCAAAGAACAAAGACTCTTCCCTTTCTAAAACATAGTTATATACTTTTATTATGTATCTTGCCTTTGGGAACAATTTTTTTGGAAGTATGACTAATATTTTCAGAACAAGTGTATTTCAGGCCCAATCCAACAGAAAACCTTCTACTGACATCCATAGTATCACTTGGCTTTAAGAAAAAAAAAAAAGGGGGGCAATTAAAAAAAATGCATATTCCTTCTCCCCATCCAAAGCACAAAGCTTACCGGTGAAATTTCCGCCTATGACATATGGAATGACACCCCCTGGCCATATTCTTTCTGTTCGTGATGTAGCAGCTCTGGGAAATCGGTTTTTCTCATTTTTCCCTGAGAATTTTACAGTAGTTCTTCCTTTAGATGTATTATTTTGCTCAAAGCCTGTAACGATAATTAAAACACTGAATAAGATCACACACACGCAAAAGAAAACAGTTATTTTCCAGCAGGTCAAAGTCAGATTATTTCATTATTTCAGGACATTGTTATGCAACAGTCTATCACAACTTAGTTTTTCTGAGAAATGTTTGAAATTAAGAGTCTAAATCTTCATTTTTAAAACATATTTACAGTAACAATTTGAACATATATTTATCAATTTGAAGGCACGTTGCATACTTTCATCTACATCTTCTCATTTAATAATAATAATATTTTTTTTTTAAAGAAGTCACACTCCCTGTGTTTTTTTTTTTTTTAATAAATTAGGATTTTTTCCAGCAAAGGAAAAAAGACTTTGCACAGACCCAAAGCAATCAAGGCATTCACTGTCCTTTTCATTTTTACTGCAAGATCTGCAAAAACCAAGCGTATGACCATCCTTAAAGCACTGGACAGAAAGAAGTCCTTAAAGTATTAGATTGGCTTTTATTACCAAGAATTACAAGGAAAAAAAAAAGATAAATTATTTGCAAAGTTGTATACACAAGGAAAAAGTTAGAGAGGGTCATTACTCCCTCCAATCTCCATCATCTGTATCTATATCAGTAGATACATTTTCAGGTGAAAATGTGACTTTCATTTTGATAGTAACCCTACAACACTTCAGGATACAAATATACATTTTTCCTAAACGAGTTTTTGGAACCCTAGCAATAAGTATTACTCGTGGCTGGAATTTCTTTACAAGACCAAAAAATGTTATTATTTTCAGAGATACTACAACCATTCATCCCGTTACAGGCAAATTTTTCCCAAATCAGCTGAAACATACCGTGACAACAGAAGAGGATAAGGCTAGTTAGACAAGGACTTGCACACCGTAACAGATGCTGCTTCTGAAGCAATTTATAAGTTAGCATGCACATCAGGGCAGCCGATTAAAGTGGATCATTTGAAAAGTGATCAACAAATCCTACCCAGTGGGGTTGAAGTCTTATTCCTCACTGATGATTACACCTTGCCCCTGTGAGTACCCCCTGTGACCAGTTCCACCTGAGTTAATGGCTATGCCAGAATCAGGGAGCACTCCAGGGCAGAATCATGCTACAGTATCTTGGCATAGCCCCAGGGCTGGGAGAGCAGCAGAAGGAAGAAAGGGAAGAAGCTACAGCACCAGGCAGGGAGAAAGGTCTTGATGCACAGGAAGAAAAACCTGCCTTTGTAACAACTAACATGTAATTCAAATTATGTCGGGAATGATACAGAAAATTTCAGAGTTTTAAAAAACCACTCAGGTAAAGCAAATAACTTATTCTTGTAATTCAAGAAGTGTGTAAATGAGAATTACCCAACAGTCTACAATACAGGTAGAAACTTCAGAAAAAAACCCCTATTGCTACATTTAATATGCAGTCATTACTGAACCACGTCACATGTTAATATAGATGTTTCACCATTCAAAATTCTTTTTATCAACTTTCTTTTGAACTAGAAGTAAGAAATTTATGCCAAATTGCATGCAAAAGATGACAAGCATTTATGCAATACTGAAATTGTAATTCTCTTACAAGGAATGAAGACTATATACCAGAGCACATCTGCAAAGGCAGTTACTGTGCTCTGGTTAATCTTACAAGATATGCAGTGATGCATTTAGACATAATGTGGTGTGATTACAATGGAGTTTCACATATTTTCCTTTTTAAGGTTGAGGTTTCATGACATTAAAGTGACATCTTGCATCACATACGGCGAGTAACCTCAGCCAGTATTAATGGGGATTCCACTTACACAGCCTGCTGAATTCAACTACATTCATACAGGCAAGAGTATGATTAGTAACACACCATAAATGCTTCAAACACAGTATGAATCATCAGGATGCCCCAACTGAATCAAAAAAAAACCCAAACAAAATCAGCAGCTATGCAGCATAGCCTACCTGTACTGAAAGTACATTGTATTGATACCAGTTGAATTGATAAGTGTGAACACAGGCATACAAAAAAGCTAAGGAATTTTTAATACGAGATTTAAAACTACATATTTTAGCTTCCAGATTTGATGCTGGAAAGGATGCTGGAAAGAGACCTCTAAGAAAATGCAACAATGAGCTAATCTCTTCATTACCATTTTTGTACTTTTTATTTTATATTTTGTTTATGCCAATAGTAATGCAGAAAGGCTTTAAAGTGTTAAAGTACTATCGACATCAATGTTCGTGATACGTTATCACATCAGGCAACCTGCTAATTTAAACAGTGAAAATACCAGAGCCAAATCTTCTTATCCTGTCTATAAGCTGATAGAGGGCACCTCGTTTTTTTGACATTCCATGTTCTCCAAAGCCACCTTTAGAAAGAAGAAAAAAAAAAAAGAGGATTTTTACAGAAGTTAAAAACATGAAATCTTACACCTACAGCAACTATATAGCCTGGAGAGATTAGAAAATACCCCGTAAAAACTGCAATGCGTCTTAAAGTTTAACATACTTCAATGACTCACAAATTCTTTAAGTATTCTTGACAATGAAATAAAAACACATTTTTAACTGAAATATATTCTAATGTACATTCCAGAATGTAAGCCAACATGTCTTTGTTATTCAGACAAGTCATGACAATTACATCATCTAATTATTATTTGGAGCTTTTTTTCTTCCTGGTGACCTTGACATCCTCAGAGCCATATTGATTGACAGCCAAAAGCCTTACTCTCACAGAAATTTCCTGAATGCATGCCATAATCTACACATTTCAAGGGAGGGGAAAGAGGGAAAGCAAGCACCCAAAGTTTCATCAGAAAAAAAACAACACCACTGATACAAACTTAATATGGCTGATTTTACCATGAAGGATTTGGTTTTCTTTGTCAGCATGCAAATAGATGTCCAACGCACTCTAAAGGCTTTGAAACATCACATGCCGGTGTATATTGCAGTAAGACCTTGCAGGCATATATGCCGGTGTCATTTCAGTGATCAATGAGCAGGAAAATTAAGCTAACGAGTAATTTATTTTAACATTTACCATGCCGTTTACAGAAACGCAACCCATTACAGAGGAGTATACATTTGATGCCTCTACCACACACTCTTCACCTGTAATCCTTTTGTGGCTGCAAGTGCCTTTGCAAACATCAGTAAACCAGAAGAAAAAACACTGATAATGCTGCACTAGTCAATAAATTATTCAAAATTGTTCAGCAAGTTTTGTCATTTTCAGAAGTTTGTAGTAGGTTGTGACAAGAGGGTTTTCAAAACCACTTTTTCAAACTACAGCAAAAAATAAAAAGATAGAAATAAAAGGACCATTGAAACCTCCAGCCACCACTAAAAAGACCTTTCCCAACTTCCCACAAAAAACTTTCAATATTTGTGAAAAAGATATTTATTAAACAGCAATTTAAAATCATATTCCAGATGAGAAAATTCCATATAAGGCAAGTGAGTTTGTGTGGCTGCTCAGTGAATAACAATGTGCCTAATTATTTGGATTACATTGTCACATAGTTGCTGGCTCCCTTGAGAAAAATTTTCCAAATTTTTTAAAACATTTTAGATAGATGAGGTAAGAGTTTGACACATTCTTTTCCAACAAGTTACATGGTAACTATAACATCCATTACAGAGAATATAACAATTCCATTCCTTGTATTGATCATCATTAATGTAATTTTCTCTCATGCTAGCATTCATCTTATTAGAAAAGGCATACAGCTGAAGTTTTCAAACAATTATTAAAAAAAAAATCCTTAAAAGTATCAACTGTCACAGACATAACAGGAAAAACAATCTATTATTTACTTAAAGAAACTATTACACTATAATTATTTCTAGAAAAAAAAAACTTAAACTGTCATTTCTGTATTAACACAGCCTGTGTATTCCATTTAGTAAAAAACGGAAAAAGAAAAATTATCTCATATAACTAATCTGCCTTATATGAATAATACACAGCCTTGCCAAGCCACAGTCTAAAAAAATTAAAAAAAAAAAAATATTTGCTGCATCTTGTCATCCTTCAGGCAGGAGAAGGAGGATACTTTTGACAGTTTGGACTCATATACATAAGAATTTTATCAGCTTTACTGTTGTTTCTGTTCACAATGATTATGTGTATTGCTTGGACAAAACGACAAATAAAATGACAGAGCCACGCTCTGAAAAGCTCACAGATTAAGTATCTGACCCTGCAAGTCCCGGCAGACAATCCTGACCAAAAGGAATAGTCACATAATGTGACTCCGAGCCTGTGAGCCTCAGGGTTTTTAATTAGTAGTTGCAATGAAAAATGTGACTCTGCAACTCCGTCTTGACACCCAAGTATCTAGCCCTGCTGTCACCTTTAGTTTGTGAAGGTCAACAACAGAAAGTACTCAGAAATAAAGCTTGTAAATGTTGTGTCTGTAACTAAGATAAAATATGAAATTGTTTTCTATTTTACAGGCATTTTACATTCCTTTCCCAGTTGCTACCTAATATCAACTAATTTAGCTGTTGGCAATTTCCTCTTCTGGAAATTAGAGGGGAAAAAGCACACTAGGCTGTGCAGTTTGCAAAAGCAGACTAAATTCCTAGTTTATGCATCAAAATGCTGTAAATGTAGAACAATAATTACATATATAAAACATAAAATTGAGTACTCCAACTCCGTTTTTAGAAAAATGAAGAATGTTGAGGGTTCATCAAGAACCATTACAAAATCATCAACTTCAGTAGTTTGTTCTCCAAAGTCCAGTCCCACTGACCATTGCAGTTGCATTGATTCCTCTAGTGCAATAAAAGTAGAAAAATCTGATCCAAATGCATTAGTAACTCTCAGTAGGATGACTCAATATCCTGAATAGCATACTGTCCACAGGAAAAGATAAGGCACACACCTCAAGATAGGTAAGGAAAGAAAATTAAATAATAGGATATTAAATACTATTTAAAAACAGCTTTGAAATGTATATTGTTTCTGTGGCAACTGACAAAAATGAACTGTACAGCTAAAGAAAAAATAGAAAAGCAAGAAGAAAAAGGAAAGCCAACAGGCCAAAGAAATCACTCGACCTCATCCACTCTAAGGGGAGATGACCGACCTTGCTCTCTACATTTTGTCAGCAAAACCAGCGCCTGAAATACCTTCAAAGCCAATTAAAACTACTTGTTTGGGGGAAAGGGGGGCAGGGAAACCGCTGACTCTATTAACAGTTTAAAATCCAGTCTTGATCTAGAATTGATCAAAGGTGTTCCTGCCTTGAAAAAGCAAGTGGCTTTAAAAGGAGATAAAATAAATTTTCAAGTTATTATAAAAATAGTCTAATCACGACATCTAACTATGAAGAGTAAAAATATTTTAAGTATATCAATACTGAAAACGTAAATTGAAAATTGTTTCCTTGGTCTGAAAAATTCCTTTCTGATCACTCCTCAAAATGATCCTTATTTCCACATACCAGGAACCATCAAGTTAATAGTAGCTTAGTTCAGGAACATATAGAACATGCTTAATAGAAAATAAATTTCTATTATACATTTATACTTTTTTCTAATAGTATTTTTTCCCACATTTTTCCTAAGTAACTTGGCTTTTTTGGTACCATAACCTGGAAGTTTATATATTCACATTTATGAATTTACAAATCTGAGCCTGAAAGCATAGATATTTTTAGACATTAGATAGATATTCATTTATATGTGGATTATGTTTTCTCTCTCTCACACATTCTTTACATACATATAAATTATA